ATCCTAACCTTATATTGCAATCCCTGAAGAGATTTTGTTTTAAGCATAACTTCACTCCGAAAGCAATTCGTCGTTTACTTCTACTCTCTCTCTCTCTCTCTCTCTACCATTGATTGACTACAGAAAGTCTTCGTCGAGAATCCTATTCTTGTTGTTATATTCAGTAACTCTGAGAGCGTTTGAGTTGTTATATGAGGAGAGGCTCTGGTCTTGAGTGATATTTACTTCCCATTCCTCGCGTCGATCGCATGTCTTAATCCGCGTAAAACACGACTGTATTAACGATCGCAGACTATTCTGTAAAAATAAACATGGTGCTTTAATACATTGTATTGTATAGTTTGTAATGTATGTTTTTTAGTACAAATATATTCCAAATGTGTAAAATTGTAATGAAATATCTTAATGCAAGACACGTGTGAGAAATAGTTTTAATAAAAGTTGAATTATATAAAAACTTTTGTTATTAGACAATAATACAGTGCATATCATACAGTACTGTATTTGGATATACAGTATATAAACTATTGATATAAATATTATATACGATATCTTTATGAGTATAAGAAGTAAATCAATGCAAAATATAAGAATATTCTGTGAGTGTCTGCGATATGTATATCACAGGCATTGTGTGATAGAATATATAGTATAGTCTCATAACTTGAAATGAAGAGATAGTACTTTTATATAGTAGAGTAGAGATAGTACTTGAAATGTAAGACATAAGGAGTATGTTTTGCATCAAATAAACCTGAGATTTGAGTTGAAACCGAATTGTAAAATTTTTAAAAATATATTTAATGTGTTTTAAAACTATTATGACATTAACTATAATTTTTCATAGCATTCGCTAAAGCCATGAGATTTTAATATTATTTGTTGAACAAAAACAATCCCTTTTGGATAAAAAAATTTTAAACTGGTTTTTGTGAGTAAAATCCCTATAATTTCTCACACACTATTCTTGCCTTACTTTTTGCTATAGGATTACAGATTTGTCTCAAATCTCTCTCTCTCTCTCTCTCTCTCTCTCTCCTTTCTTATACCTATGCCTTTAGGGGGAAAACATTTGAAAAGTAAATAAAATACTTTTTAAAAGTATTATATAAATAATTTATATAAGATTTTAGGTGTTGATACACATCGAACCAGAATAAACATGTGGGCAATAAAAAATTGGCCAAAATAAATGGTTTTTATATGTAATAAACAAATCAATAAATGCTTTCAAAACTTCAAAACAAGGTGTAATCCATAAAATGGGTTTCTCAACAATATATCACAAAATATAAACACATTACATAATACTTTACACAAAAGCAATACTTACTCTGAAATTTTCGCTCATAAAACAGTAGACAATAGGATTGACGAGTGAATGAAACTGTGAGATCCAGTGGCAGAAGAAATATGTGCCGACGTATACATTGTACGCCACTTTAGTCTTAGCGTTCAGTATTTGGGGGTAAAAGTAGACCAGCATTGAGAAGATGTGGATCGGGAGCCAACACACGCCAAACAGTATGACTACCGTAGACAGCATTTTGATCACCTAGGTCATTAGAGGGCATATTTAGTTATTAATATGATTTATTATACATTTAGTATTTAATATTATACTTAATTTAATTCTCATAGAGAATCCATGGATATTAAGAGCATTAGAAATATTTACTTTAATTATAAGAATTAATTTTTCTTTGTATTCATTGTGTAGTTTTGTCATTAATAAGGGATTTTAAAATTATTATCTTTTTTATGATAGTTTCCACTTATTAATGGATATTTTACTTATTAAAAAGTCAATGGCTTTTATATAATACTTAATACTTATAAAACACTAATTGGATTAAAATATAAGTTACCATTATTATATTTTGGTAAATGCAAAAATATACTACAGTCAACTCTCGTTATAGAATTTTAAATAAAAAAATTATGAAATAACTAAAATGGCTTATTTATGTAAATTGTGAGTTAGATCTGAAGTATTACTTTACATTAATAATATATGACAAGATATATTTATGCTAATAATATTTTTACAAATTTTTAAATTTAATTATGATTGAAAATTCTTGATACCCAATGGCATAGAGTTACTCTAATAGAGTATGCAGTTTTTAGTGTAATATTAAATAGTATGGACAATGAATCTCATATTTTTTAAACACCCACTCGTTTTGTCGGCAAAACTACTACTTTTCTATATTATACTTTTCTATGTTAGTCACAAGATGTATAAGAGTTGCAATTGATTTTTGATATTTCATTCACTATAACAAGTTTTTTGTTGGAATAAGTTTATGAGTCTCTCTCTCTCTCTCTCTCTCTCTCTCATACTAGGAGTAAATCAAATAAATTTGTGATATAATAGTAGTGCCGATACTTATAGCTACTATAAATGGGTCTATTTTATTGAATTCTGTGTTATATTAGATATAGTGTAGACTTAAAATTTTGAAAAAAAATTTTTGTGCATTCATCTCAACACTTAATCCTTTATAAATATATTTACATTTATTGTGAATTTTATATTTCAATGATTTATGGTTTTGTAAAATATCGGAAATTGTATACATTTTGATTTATAATAAATGAGCGTGATTAATTAATTGCAGGCAAATATGAATTTTATTGTCATTATTGCCTATTTGATATTTATTATACCGATTATTAATCATATTTATATTGGAAAAATTTATTTATCAAAAGCTCTACTTTAAAAATAGTTGTTTAGTTTGAGTGCAAAGATTTTCAATTGATTTAATGTATTCAGTATATAAAATATGTGAAGAGATGTTCACTTTTTTGATAAAATAATTTTTAAAAACCATTTTTATTCAGTTAATCCATCAAATATGAAATGTATATCAAACTCTCTCTCTCTCTCTCTCTCTCTCTCTCTCTCTC